AAGAGAGAAGATACCCCACCCAGGACCCGGACCCAACCTGGACCACTCCTAGGACCCCCACGGACCAACCATGGATCCCCCCCTAGGGAAGCCATGACACCACCATGGACACCCAGGACCCACGGACCAACATGGACACCTAGGAGCCACGGACATCCATGGCCGACCATGGACCACCAGACCCCATCGATGGAATCGGGGCTGTTGTGGTGGAGAAGAGTCATTTCGACTTGCTGGGAATGCTAAAGTGTGAAGAGAAGAGAGAGGCACAGAAGGGAGTGGGGGGCTAAAGGAATGAGGTCTTCGTAGTGGAGCAATTCGTCTCTCCTTACGCTCAGAGAGCAGAAGTTATGAACTGACGAATGACAAAGGCATAAATTCCGAGCTGCCCGGGAGAAATTTGCAGGGCTACATCCCTGTGGCAGGAATGCTGATGTAACGCCAGGGGCGCGTAAATGCTGAGGCTGGCCAGTGACCTGCAGGAAGAGAAAGTTAAATATGCCGGGCGCGGCGGCTCACGCCTGTCATGCCAGCTCATCATGGGAGGCCCAAGGCGGGAGGATCACTCCGAGGTCAGGAGTTTCGAGACAAGCCTGAGCAACGAGCCGCGACGTCCTCTACTAAAAAATAAAGATTATCGGCCACTAAAATATATATAGAAAATTAGCCGGCGCATGGGTGGCGCACCGCCTGTAGCAAGCTACTCGGAGGGGCTGAGCAGGAGGATCATCAGGAGTCTAAGGTTGCTGTGAGCGAGGCTGACGCCATGGCAACTCACTCATAGCCCGGCAACAAGAGCAAGACTGTGTCTCAAAAAAAAAAAAAAAAATGTTCACACTAACATAAAAAACTGTCACTCTGGGTTTTTTTTTTTTTTAATTTTTCTCTTTTTTTAAGACAGAGTCTCACTCTGTTCCCGGGCTAGAGTGAGTGCCGTGGCGTCAGCCTCGCTCACAGCACTCCAGACTCCTGGCTCAAGTGATCCCCTGCTCAGCCTCCCGAGTAGCTGGGACTAAGGCATGTGCCACCACGCCCGGGCTCAATTTCTCTAATATATATTCAGTTGGCAATTAATTTCTTCTATTTTAGTAGAAGACGGGGTCTCGTCTTGCTCAGGCTGGTCTCAGAACTCCTGAACCTGGAGCGACTCCGCCTCGTCTCCCAAGTGCCGGGGTGACAGGGCGTGAGCCTGCCGCACCGGCCACTTGGGGTTATTTTACCGAGAAGATTTCGGTTATGCGGTCGTCAGGTGGTGGAAGGAGAAGGGAGGAAGGACTCCTAGATAATGTCAAAAAGTGGCGTCAAGAGAAGTGTCCGGGTTCATTGGTGTGACTATCCTGAATTCCACTTCTCACTTCCGAATGAAGGCAGAAAGACTGGCTAGCACCGTGATTATTTTTTTATTTTATTTTTTATTTTTTCCTTTTCAACAAGGGCGGGTAACAGTCAACAGAAGAGGAGAACTGGTTGGGAAACGCTTTGCTTTCGATTTGACGTGGTTGACGGTAACGGCAACCAGGCCTGAGTGCCAGTCGTTTGCCATCAGTGGTTTCGGTAAGGGCCGTCAGTTTGCTAATATAGATAAGAAGAACCGGGAAACGTGGCTCTAGCCTGCAATCCCGCATCTGGGAGGCCGAGGCGGGAGGATCCGCTCGGGTCAGAGTTCAACCAAGCCTGAGCAAGAGCGAGAACCCCCGTCTCTACTAAAATAGAAAGAATTATTGGCAACATACATAATATGAATTAGCCGAGCGCGTGGTGCGCATGCTGTAGTCAGCTACTCGGGAGGAGGCTGAGGAGG